CCGGATGACAAACCTTCAACGCAACATCTCGAGCACCACAACGGTGAACACTTTGAGGTCCACCTCCTCCTCCACACAAGAGTGAATGGCGAACCCCTCAAAAAGGCTTCGTTTTAAACAACTTTAGGGGATGTGAAAAAGGCGGCCAATAAGGAGTGCCACCGGAACAAGGTGGACAAGAACAATTCCAAGCGCGGTGAGATAGGCAGATGGCTGGGAACTAACACTGAGAAAATGAGATTTTGCCAAGGCGGTGGCGCAGGGAAGTGATTGATAGCCACCCTCTCTTCCTTTGAAGGGGATATGGAGTCTCCAGACATTGTTACAAAATAATCACCATGGCTACAGTGGTGGGATCTTTCGCGTGCAAACATCGTGCGAACAAGGTGGAGTTCGTGAAACCAGATAAAATCATTCAGAAAATGGCAGACGGAGGGGCAGAAGAACAGGCAGAACTGCAGAACATTGCAAAGGTACTTAACTAGTAGTAAGAATAATGATAGTGACCTGTTTTTAGCCTCGTTGACATTAAACAAAAAGGACAAAACGAGAAACTTGGATATTAAATTAAAATTCAGGGACACAAAAATGTGGGGACAGTAAAACGTCATCAAGGGAGTCCGAGGTCAGGTAAGACTAGCCGGGAACAAGAGAGTAATAAAGGTGGCCCACCTCTCCAACACGCCAACGTATATTCCCAGTGTTCTTCGTGCGCAGGGAGTAAACAGTGGTGGGAGAGGTCTTATTCAAATCCCACACTTTTATCGTATTATCACGTCCTCCTGCTGTGGCAAGCCAGTTTCGACTGGAAATGGCAACAACAAACTACTGAGATAAGCCCAAGGAGGCAGCCACTCAGCAGGACTTGAAATGGCACGGACTCACTCCGAAGAATTCCACATCGGATGCCAATCGATACTGGCAGAGACAGCGTTGTGTGCCTGGAAGCACCGAGCGGGTCGACTCTCGTTGCGCGTATCCCAGATACACACAAGACCGTTCTCAAATGCGGCAGCCAGAGTGTGACCCTCACGTGGACAGTAGACCACGTCGCGTGCGGGCGATGGTGCTGTTGTGCGAACATGGAAGACTAGACGACAGGATTGATCACGCACATCCTTTGAGGGGCGATAAGAAAGCAAACCAGATCACACCAGGCTTGCACCGGATTCGACTGACACAAACAAAGAGGTGAAGGCGATGAACGTACAAAGAGTTTGACAGTTCCATCGTGCGACGCCGAGATGATCTCGTTGGGCGCGTTGGGATTGAAGTGGATTCGGTGGACACTGCGTGAGTGGCCCATAAAACAGACGCCTGTAAAGAGTGTGGTGAAAACAGTCCAACGCAATGTATACCCAAAAGCGAAGGAATATTGTAGGGATCAAAGCGGATGACATTATTGGCGACGGTAATATTGGTAGGTTGAAAGAAGACTTACTCTGCGTAATGCCTCGACTCAGATCCCAGACTATCAAGTCACCGGCGTTGGAACATGTAGCCAGCACAGCTACATTCAAGGAGAAAAAAAATAAGACAGATTTGTTACAGAGAAGGAGAAGCAAGAGGGAAATGCTGCCTCACACTTCGAGTCCGACCAGGCCACATCGTTGATGGCATAGCTGCGAGGTGGTTGAAAGTGGGTCGTTGTCGTCGTATTCGACGACGACGATGTTGACGCCACTACAGAGGAGGAGGTGGACCTCAAAGTGTTCACCGTTGTGGTGCTCGAGATGTTGCGTTGAAGGTTTGTCATCCGGTGGACCTGACAGATGCAATTATGTTCGTTCTCTAATCAACTCCACACTCCCACTTACAAAGCAGTGAAATTAGTCCCCTTGAAAAAGGTCGTGCCCACTCAATAGGGAATGAGACTACCCTTCTCGTTAGCCCAAGAGAATTCTGATTGGGTACTATTGTCTGTCAGATCTCAGTTTGCTGATTTACTATCGGGAGACCTGAACACCAACCATTTGGACGACATGCAGGGGAAAAAGGTAGCCTCTGATTAAGCACCTACAATTGGTTCTTATTTGGGCAGACCAATCGACTCTGGAAGCTTGTCAATCCACAACTTATGCGAGTCGTGATGCAAAGCACAGACTCACCGAGATGAACCTCTCCCCATCTACCCGAAGCACTTGAAGCAGGTTGCGTCCAGCGATAGCGACGAGTGGGTAGAAGTTGGAAATGGCGATGCAGGTGAGTGGATCACTAGCGTCGAAGACCCAGGTTCTCTTGGACACCGCACCACGACGTCGCATCATCAAAAAATCACCGATTTCGCCTCCTCCTCCTCCTCCTCCTTCTGCTCCACCCTCCCCCACCTCTGCCTCCTGGAACATCTCTATTTTACCTTCCTCCTCTTCCATTGCCATGCCTACCCTCTGTTCCCCATCGCTCTGACCACTGGGTTCGCGAGAGGATCGTGT